CGACCCCACGTGAACTACGTGTGGGCCAGTCCCGCACGTAACATCACGGCGAGTGGCCTTTCTGTTCAGTATGGCGTCTATTTGAAAGCTTGATCTTCATTAACACTTTAACCTTTCTTTTCCACCGAATAATAAAAACATTCTAATATTAAATACGTCCAGGCTCTGAGGAAGGCGAAGTCGCCGAAACGTCAGCCATCGATCAATAACATCAAAAACAATGACAACGAAAACGAAGATCTGTACCAAGCTTAAGAAGATCAGTTTATAAGATCACATAAATAAATATATCAACTATCTATGCCGAGGTTTATACAAAGTCGGTCTTTCGAGTTATTAAGAGAATCTAAAAGTACTTGTTGACCACATGTTGTTTTTACGTGTTACCTCTGTCTACGCGAAATATTTCCGTCGTTTAAAAACGCTTTCAACTGTGTTCATTTGCATCGATTTATTCGTAGCTGAGGTTCGAAATGGAAATGCGCAACACCTCCACAGGTGTCTCGATTGAGAGTTAACGCTGTTCTGCTGAAGGTCGCTGCTCAAGACGGCTATGCGGGCGAAGTACATCTTTCGACTTTGTGTTTCAACACAGTGTCCTGAAACTATTACAGGTTCACTAACGCTTCTTCCCCCGTGACAGCTCGCTGAAAACATGCTGCAGTTAAGCAACACATGTTATCGTTATTGATTTCCGAGAGTTTGCTCCGTAGGTCTACGCTGACTTTGTTTTCATTATTTCCAGTATGAGGTATGTGTACTTGCACCTTGAGACGCCTCTTCATGGACAGTTGGCACACAGCTATACCACGTGCTGAAGATTGATCAAAATAAAGGCCCACATGATTGAAACCATCGCAGGTCATCAAAGAAGCCTTCGTAAGCGTATAAAAATAATCTGACTCAACAGCATAGTGGAGAAATGAGAAAAACTTCTAATGATGTCTGGACACTTTAAACATATGTTGATTAGTCATACCGAGAGTAAAGCAAAGTCAGTTTTTCAAGTAAATTGATATTTTTGTTTAAGGATGCGTACAGTGCAGTAGTTAGAGGTCTTTCGCAATACACAAAGGGTTCTTATTCCGATCCAAATCCCCAGCGATAAAGAAGTCTCCCATCCTTTCGTAGTCAAGACTTTGCTCTCGTAGGAGGATCAGGACGCTGACTTGATACATCTTTGGACCACCACCGGCTTCATGGACCACAGGCCAGAGATGTAACTCAAACAGCTCCCACGATGCTTAACGGACTTGGATATATGGTGCATCTCGTCAATGCACAACGTTTTCTTCTACAAATTTCATTGTGATTTACTGATAAGCTTATGCCAAGTGGTTACAGATCTTTGTAGCTGTTTTAGCGCAACCCTGTCGTACAGAAAGGTTACAAGTGGAGTTATGGTGTCGAACGGTAGAGCACAATAAAGGCCTTTGAAAAATTCGTATAAGCTTGCCAATAACCCAAGATACTGATCACCCAAGCTGAGGTTAAACGAAAATCGGCTATGATGATATTGCATTGCTTTTTTTAAACAAAAAACAACTGCATATATCAGGCCCGGCCGGAAAGCGAACAATTTGACAGGGCGCATCTCACTCGAGGGAGAAGGCAAACGTGCACAACAAACTCCTCTAAGGAATTGGAGCAGTTGAAGGAGAACTTTCTCGAACACTGCGAGAGAGACAATATGTGAGTGTAGATATCAAGTAGTTACCAAATACAGTACCCTAATAGCAATCATTCTAACTTCATCTCTTTATCTTCACCTAGAGAGAACCCCTATAGATCTCACTAAAAACTTACTATTCATGCCAACTGGCAACAATTTACATCAACTCTCTAGATATTGGTATTAAACAAATTACCGAAGAACAGAAATTTGAAGATGAACCAATGGAACCTCCATTCTAGCGTATTAGAAGCCTAGTCCGGAAAGCAAGTGAGCCAAAGTTACTGATGGGTTGCTACCTTTAGATTATTGAACACTTTCGAACGCGTTTCTTGCTTGCGCTTCTCTCATTCGCTTCATAATCTTCAAAGTTCTCCTACTAATAGGAAAGAAGGCTAGAGGGTTACCTTGATATACCAAGATATACCCTGATTTCTACAGATGTTTGCCGGACGAGGACATTTCATCTGAGCAAGAACGAAACCGCTTCAAACGACTGCATGCATCACGAGCCAAGAGATATTCCGCATATCTCACTCAGCTCTCACTTTGCTACGGACGCCTTAGTTAAGAGCTTGGACATATACTGTGGAGCAATCATATTCTATGGTATGTGTCACACCGATATACTTCTTTGAGAAATGAATACTTTGTTCGTGAATTTCACTTCCAATGCAACAAACAGCTTTGATCATAAGTGAATCGTTAACAATAAAATACCTAGATGTGCGGAAAACAAAGAAAATGTGAAGCTTAGAGATATTTGAGCATTTCAACAACAGCGAAGAGCGCAACATCAAGATACCTGTAGAGGAAGCTGACTGATGCAGATAATATTAGCTTTTCTGTACACGAACAATTTTGAAATGGAGAAAAGCTGCTGGAAATAAGGATATATTTTATAATAGAACGCAACATTGGAACAAATGTGCTGGTATTTCGAATGATTACGATTTAAGAAAGAAAACAACAGGGAAAACCACTTCGTGAAGATCACTGGCATAACCTGCAGCGCCAATCGGAGCGCAACGGTGTGCAATAGCTAAGAAAGCAATAAACAAAACAAATAGAAACATGTTGTCATTGTCCGGAATGCTACACAAAAGTAACAGACCAGTCAATAGAGATTTGGACTGGGTATACTACTCAGAACTAATGCAACAAGTACACGACGACTTCGTATGTTCCCATCGTTATCGCTGTGTTGGGAACAGTACGCATCAGCTGCAACCGGAGGAGAAAGTCATCAATAATATTACTGAAGGAGAAGTACATGGACAATTCGTCAAAACTCAAAAGATCGAATTTCTGTTGATAAAGTTCTGCATAAATAATTTATATATTTGTTTGTACGTTCTTATGAACTGATCATGTTAAGCTGATGCGAGATTGGTATAAGATTTTGATATTGTTGTTGTTGTTGTTGTCGGTGTTGTTGGTCGATTGCTGACGTTTCGGCGATTTCGCCTTCCTCCGAGCCTTGCTGTTAAGTGGGACTGTCCCTTACAAGTCGGGAATGTTTTGCTGGTATATCTCTTAATCCCACTCATAATAGCACAGCTCTGAGGAAGGTGAAATCGCCGAAACGTTAGCAATCGACCAACAAGAACAACCGCAACAACGGCAACTACACCAAACTCCCATCAGCTCAACAAGATAGGTTCGTAAGAACACATAAATTCGTCAAAAAAATATTGCAGGCGATTAGTTTGCGAAAAATCTGAGTCTAATTTGAATTCAAATCCACTTAAGCAGGATACCACTTGAGCACAACGCATCGAAAAGCTGTTGTAAAAATGGTATCGAACAAATTATCACGTAAAATTTGTAAAGTATTTGATATTTAGTTAAACTTTAAAATAAGATGAAAGTCACTTTGTCATAAATGTGAAGTAATTTCGACGTCCTAACCTGCACTGATAATCCGCGATACATAGAACGACCACCTTCTTTATACAAATCATATAAAGTACGAAAAAAACCTCTCTTCACAGCCGACTCCTCTCGTAGCCTGGTTCGAACTACTTCTGAAAAAACACAGGAGATATATCATAAAGAACAACTGTATAAATCGAGCCAAAAAAATTCCGGTTTTGTGTTAACGAAAATTTTAACCACTGTCTGGCGCGGGATAAAGCGGGGATAAAGCGCGCAGCATTGATCAATCCATAAGGGATACACTATGGAGTCGACTTCACTAAGAATCGTTGAAGATGATTGAATGCTTATCTGGCCTTTACAATAACTCGCGGTGGCCTACCGACGTATCCAGTCAGTGCTGATATCTCCCAAAACAAGTACGGCAACAATTCGCGGACTCCGGTGGGATAGAAAGCTTAGCCTGAGGCGCAAAATGGAACCCATGTGTATACATGGCGCCGCTAACCGCTGTGCTACACGCCTATGCGATAAGAGCAGAATAGAAAATAAAAACTGCGTGTTACCACGCTCACTGTGATTACCTAAGTATTGTTCTCAAAGTGACAACTGAAACCATAACTATTTTGTAAAAGACTTGACAGGAACAAACCATGTGGATATGTGATGACACATGCGAAGAACTTTGCACAACCTCCAGCCACCATAAAATTTAAGAAGTCCTTAACATAGAGAAAAAATAAAGTACGGAAGTGAAATATAAAGAGAGACAAAATGAGGTTCTATCACCAAAATAACGATATGTCTTGATAAGATAAACTTGCCATTTTTCCTTTGTCCTCATAAACGTTACGGTGACGTAGAAGAATACTTCTTAAGTACTCATAGATAACAAACTGTATCACTGTCTCTGATACACCAGCATACGATGCGGTCACTCCCTGAATTTGCTAGAAAATGAAATGACAATAGAAGACGAAACAGATGGCAGACAGGAACAAAATGATGATGAATAACAACAGAAACAACAGAAAACACAAAAACAGATAAATGACAGACGTTTAGAACCTTGTAGAATCCTTTAATGCCTTCGCGTGAATAAACTCGGCGAATCATCTGCAGAATGGTGGATTTACCATGATGTAATTGTAACCGTGTTTTAACAAGCCATATCGGATTAACGGCAGATGCGGCCACGAAACCTGAATCAGGTATAATGCAAAACCTGCAAAACCTTTAACTTGCAAAACTCTACCAACGACAAAATTAGGATTTCATGGACCATTGACGAAATTCTGGTGATTTCAACCACAATAGAACTTAGTCGGAGTTAGCAAGCGACAGCGGTGTGAGTAATATATGACTCATACTATCCGATATACAATCACCATTATCATGGCAGAGTATTCAGTTATTGTTCTCCTTGGTAAGTTTATTGTAGTATAATATCTCTACAACGAGTAAGGATCAACTCTGAGATCCATCGAGGTAAAAAAAATCATTCCACTAAATTTTTTTTAAACTCTGTGTGAAAAGTAGCTCTTCTCTGTCACATCTGAAATGAACCGACATACAGAGTGGGAATTGTACAAAAAGTTATGCAGGTTTTTTCACCGGTATGAGGTAAAATGGTCTGTATGCGTCGATTTCAATACGCAACCTTCGCACGCGGCGAAAAACTAGACGTAGTGCCACGTCGGATGCAGTGAAAATTAGGTGCAATCAAGAGTGAGCTAAGTTTATCATACACTTATAGAGCGATCAACAGGACTACTTATCCATGTATTTAATATTTCAGTAAAGACGTGAAAGGAAAGCTTTCCTTAACCCATTTGGGGCAAAGCTGGTTCTTCGATAACTGACAATTTCTCGAACATTGGAGTATTTCACGAAATTCACAGATTTATGGACACTTTTCGCTGTCGCATGTATAATTTTTGTATAGTGTCATTTAAAATTCAAAACTTCCAAAAATCGATAACAGAACGTAGTAGTCTAAAATTCCCAGCTGACCGGCAGCTGCAAGTATAAACGATGCATTGATGAACACCAGTGTGTCCTTTTGCATGAAATCCTGCTTGTTCACTCGTCTTTAGCTTTCATAATACAAGCCGTCAGGTAAATAAAGTAATGTGTCATAGGTTCCGGAAAATCAGCAACTCAACGTGGCGAAACATGGGAACTTTCATTCCAGGGAAAGGATTGGTAGAACCTAATGGTTTCCACTGCAAGTCAAAAAAATCAGTATGAGCTGAGACATGTTGACTCAAAGTTTAAAGCGGCCGTTATTTTCGCATCATTTAACTCTTATCTAGGTCACGCTGCCGTGTAAATGTAAAAAACGTCCTTAGGTATCTACGACAACTGATAGCCCGTAACTCTCGCACTTATAGTGAACGCCGAATTCGCTTAATTATCAGCGATTATACGACCAAATAGAAAGTGAAAAACAGTGAGATTTGATATAATGGTTTGAAAAAGACGCTTTGCATGCAGCCATATCTTTGGCAGCATACAATACGAATTGTCGTGTCCACAGGAATGGTCCTCACAACAGTTTTACCGCCTCATTGTGGCTGGGAAGTATTCCTGGGTGTCGGGATGCGATGTTCAGCGGGTAGATTCATTCGCCCGGCAGGGTGTCCCAAGCTGAAAAGGAGTCCGGCGCTTCCACCAGAAAGCCCAGCTAGGAGTAAACCTACACTAGGATCCACCAACGTCGTGATATCAAACTAGTCGCATGGTGGCAAATCTCCCTCTGATCCACAACAGCGGCGACTGCCTGTAGCGGTAACGACCTGGGGAAGACTTTGGACAGGCGAACCTTGGGACTCCAGAGAAACACAATGGCTAAACCAGGAAAACTCCGAAAAATGGAGAACATGCTGGAACCCGCACAACAGGTGAGTTCGGGCCGTCCAAGTATCCGAGTATCCAAATACAGCAATGGTCTCATTTATTATTTTAATCAGACATCTTTTATGAGTTACACCTGTTTTCCTGAACAATGATGGAAGACCGACAAACTGATAGTGATTTCTACAGCGCTCCATACATTTTTCTACGGCGAGAGTGAAGATGACACGTGGACAATGTTTGCGTGCACTTTGTATTGCAAGTGATCGTTTCGGCCGCAAAGACCAACAATAGAACCGTTGCAAAGTTGTTGAAAAACCGTGCACTTCATGAGAGTGGTGTCACGGGTCTGTCGACTTCACCTTCACATCACGTGAAGTTTTTATAACTATGGGCATGACAAAATAGTACTGTTAAAGAGATAAATAGTGTGAGAACAACAAAATCACCTGCTGAACCTGCGCTCACCATATGCACAATAGCACTATTCGGTACGAATAGCTCTGAGTCGTTCCAAATTCGTTTGCTTGTAGAATACGAATAGAAATAAACGGCCCTAAATACATTACATAATAACGGCATTAACAGATAACTAACCATTATAAAATGGTTTTAAGCGATATGTGAGCAGAAAAAAAACTGCGCCTTTCGACTTTAAACTAAAATATCTATTAACACTGAACTTCTAGGCAAACGAGAAATGCGACCTGTTATTTAAAAAAGACGAAATTTCGACTACCAGAAATCCAAACAACATTGTCTTCCAGCTAAAACTAGCGCCGAGACAGGCCAAACGAAAGATCCCAATGGTGGGGTTGTGAACGCGTTAGTCCCGGAAAGGGTAATAGCGTGTTCGTTCCCCACCTCTGACACCTGCGGTCCGAAGTTTTGGAAATATCTCAACATCGTTATGCTTGTATTTCACATAGTGCCATGCCGTGAAAAATTGTAGTAGGCAGCAAATAAGAAATTACCTATGATTATTAACTATTGTTATACTACTACCCGCTAAACCACTTTACTTGTAACTTATTGTACATACATTTCAAATCTCATGTGTAAATATTATGCGTACAAATAGCTAATACAAGAAAACCCGCCTTAAACTTTCCATCTCTGCACGCATGGTTTTGCTATTCGCCATGTGCTAGCTAACAAGATACCGACTGCTGTAGGATTGATTATCGGTTGGAAAACAAATTATCATCAACTGATAAACATATCAACAAAAATCGCCCAGCGTCGCCGGATGTGTTCGGCTCACTCGAGATGCTCAACTGAGGAAGATCTTGTTTGATGAGAGATGAAGACGCCATATCGAGAAGAGGAACAACTGTGGACCATCAACAAGGATTGCCGGCTCCGATAAAGACGAAGACGTTGAAACGTTAACCGAATAAACAATTCATATCAACTTCGTGTAAGCTCAACAGTATAAAAGTATGTTGATTGTTACAGTGCCGAGGTTAAATGACGGTCGGTTTCAAGATCAAAAAGTTAACATTAGAGATTGTCTTTGTTTATTTTTCGTCAAAGACTCGTTCTCGAACACAGAAGTGATTTGAAAAAAAATTTTCCCAGTTGGGCACGGTGATGTCCCAGAATGCATCGCCCGTGCTTATCTCTGATGGGTTTACGACAAAAACCTTGGAAATCTACGCTTCGTTTCCAACTACCTATATGTTTACCTTTTTGAAAAACTAAAGCTAAAATATCTTTAAAAAAATAACATCAGATCAAAGCAGTAAATCTATACTTGTGTCAAGTGTCCAGATTCCCAACTACAAGAATTCTAGGAAAACCAGCAACAAATACTATTTGATAATGAGCAAAAAGTACTTACAAATGCTGAAAGAGATGAAGAACACATCTTTCAAGCGGTAACAAGGAGCGGAACAATATTTAAAATACTTACTTCGATGGAGCGACACCTACAAGATTGGGAAGCAGGCCCTTGTACAGTGCACCGAATCCCTCAGTTTTGATGATATAGCTGAAAAGACACAAGCCGTAAAGATTCTAAACGATTCTGAAAAACACGATACATACGGCAGTAGATTTCGATTCAGTCGTATGAAAAACAGGAGTACAAGAAACTGCAGACGAAGCGAGAATAGTTTTGTTTCCAATGTTGGCCCTCCGAGAGTTATAAACAAGGACAAACATCAACTTACTAGAAAGTGACAAAACACTTTAAAAGAGTAAACAAGGATGAAAAAACATGCAAAAACTCCTATTTACACAAACGAAGTGATTGAAGTTTGCAAAACTCCGGACTGCAGGTTGGTGCAGTGAGGAACGAACGTGCTACTACTTCCGGGGACTAACACCCGCGTATCTTAAATGGGTTCATTGCCGACTTGAGGTCTCCAGATCAATCCCATTAACGGTATATAATAATAGCGCGTTCGTTCCGTACCGCAGAAACCTGCAGTCCAGAGTTTTACAAATACCTCAGCATCATTGTGGTTGTATCACACATAACATCTTACCGTGAAAAATTGTACTGAGCAGTAACTAAAAAGTGAACAATGTGAGTGAGAAGTCTTTCCCGTGATTAAAACATGTAAAAATAGGATATGTCATGTTCTTTCCTATAGCCATTTTTGCACTTTGAAAAAGCTTTGCAAACGAGGGTCTCGCCTTGAATAACTGTGGCAAAATGAACAAGCATCTTTGTCTCCAAGAAACGAATGGATGAGTTATGTGCACCTACCAGAGAAGCAGAATCCTCTTTCAAAAAGAAATAGACATAAAAAAGAGAAAATGAAGAAATAAATCAATAAATATACACTATGCGCGCTACAGTTGTTATATCATACTCGAAACACAGCATAAAATTGTAAACGGTCTTAAAAACTGAGAACGAGAAATGACTTACGAGAAGTAACGCATGATGTTCAACCGCCTTCGTGGAGCGCTGAGTTCACCTCGAGCTTGAGACTGGACAAATCGTGAGAAGATGAAAGAGACTGGGTTTCGACTAATGTCACCTACAACAATAACAACACGCTTTCGAAGAAAAAAGCACCTGAAACATTTGTTGAATACTTACCCTTTGCTGCTAAGCTCCCCCCAAATTCTGCACCAATTCGATGACTGTTTTCTACAAAGAAGTCCTTTGATTCGACCATAAAAAACTTTACGCAACTAAACCACTATAGGGACAAAAAGGATAAAGTTTTCGGCGTTGACCAATTCCTGAAGGATGCGCCATGCATTCGACTTCTTTAAGCATCGCTGAAGGTGGTTGAATGCATATCTGGGCTTTACAATGACTCGCGCTAGCCTACTGATGTATCGAGCCAGTGTTACTATCCTCCTAGACAAGTCTGGTACCAATTTGCCGACCACGGAGGGATGGAGTGCTTGGTGGACTTGAGGATCGATCCCGTGTGAATTGCACGGCGCCTTCGACTACGCGATACTACGCCAGCACACTTGGATACTTGGATGGCCCGTATTCACTGGTTGTGGGGGTACCAGCATAATTTCCATTTTTTTGGAGCTTTGTTGATTTAACCATTGTGGTTCCCTTTAGTACTGAGGACAGCCTAGCCAAAGTCAGCTCCCAGGTCGGCGCCACCACAGATGGTCGTCGTCCTTGTGAATCTGAGAGAGGTTTGCCACAATGCGACTAGTTTGATACCACGACAGTGGTGGATCCTGGTATTCATTTACTCTTAGCTGGACTACCTGATTTAAACGCCCAACTCTTCCTCAGTTTGGAAGACCGTGTTGAAGGATGAATCTCCCCACTGTACACCGCATCCCGACACCGAGGAACACCTCCTAACCACGATGAGGTGGTAAACTGTTAGGAGGACTACGCCACTATGCTGATACTAATGAAACATAGTAGTACAACCATTCAGGGTCCGCTAAGCAGTACTTACAAATACTATGCAGCAAATATGCAAAACGGTATAGAGAGAAAAGGTTCCAATCAATAAATCAGCTCACCCAAAATATGTTTGTAAGCAGAACACAAAGAGTGCTGGGAAGGTGGCTCTTTTCGGAAGACAGTTTGCGGTGAACTCCCGGTATGATCACCTAAGAATGTTGTATACATCTAAAAAACAGATGAAGACAGAAGCTTCTTTCCTACTGCTAGATTATTCCACGGATTTCTACTCGATCACTGTTTGCGCTCGCCTAATAAATAATGTTTTCAACCACAAAACTCAAAAAGACGTTGACAAACCCTCTTCAATGAGGCTTCAAAACCGAAAATCTCTCTACTTTATATGGAAAACCTGAAGCAAAAAGCTCAATTTCGGCTCTGATTAAGTGAAACACACGCCTTGACTCGTGCTTGGTCCAATGGGATTGATCCCTTTGCTTGATTGCATCCGCGTCTTCACAACCTCAAGGGGACATGTGATACAGGTACCTAAAGAATAGCTGATTTTAGAACATCAAGGATGAGTTATTGACTGATTTACAAAAATTGAACCTACTCATATTGTTTATTAGTAGAACAACGCATTGATTTCAAGCTAAAAACACAAAAGCTGGATTTTAAGTAACACCTGCTGTTCCTCCAACGGCTCCTCCTATAAAATGAATAAGTGCTTCGCGGTCCATGAACATTTTCTGAAAAGAAAAGGGAAGAGGAATGGTAAGGAAAGCAACGACGATAACAACGGCAGTAACAGTAGTAATATAAACATAAACAACAGTGAGTTTAGATAGGATGGAAATGACATGAACAAACGAAAATGGAGAATTATGAACGAGGAATGTAAGGAATGTTACCGGACGAGGAACGAAGAGGGAAAGAAAAAGAAAAAGAAGGAGAATAAGAAGGTCTCAGTTCGGAACGGTTCCTAGTCCTCGTCGGACATGATCCTTCACACTTTGCAGAAGGGCAGCACCATCCAGAATAAACCTTTCCACGATTTGATCACGGGGTTTTCCTGGAAAAACTTCTTGGACAGTTCTCTAAGCATCCACGAAAGGTGTCTTTTGGATGTCATGGAACGAATGGGTCGTGTTTTATTGGTTTGATCCTCCATCATGTGAAAGAATGGACAACCGAATATACACCCCGAAAATGATGAGTATTTAAAGTCAACATGAAATGTTACTAAATTAAGCACCGTCCTTTGTATTACATTTAAATACAAAGAAAAAAGCCGAGTGATCGAAAGAAGAGACAACTGCGGGCACCGCCCCACACGAATAGGCCAAGCGGCCGGCCGCCGCCGAACCACGCGCCCCCGTGGATCTGGGCGATCACGGGACCGCTTCTCCGGCACTCACCCGCGCTGATAAGTCTGTTGATTTCGAAAGAAGAACTGGTCAGATGCTGGGGAGACGTTCCAGGTTAGTTGTAACGGAGACCGATGTGTTGCTATCGAACGGGACCCTACATATGGCCAGATTTCGTGAACCATCGCGAAAAGGAAATAGCGACAAACAGGCGATGAGAATCACGAAACTCAAGTTCTGAATCCGTTCGTTCTTCTTCTAGGATTTCTGGGCATTTGGTTTCACCATGTAGATACGCGTTTCAAATGAGAATGCACCCAGGTCTTATGAAGTGATATTTTCAAAAGTGTTGCTTCTTTCTAGAGAGCTAAGATTTAGCGTGGAGCTAACTGGCGAAAGTGCCTCTACAGCGGAGAGAAAGAATCACTCCTCTGCTAGTATATTACTGCGGTAAACTTCTATAAACAAGCTCTGTCAGTCATACTTCGAGAATACACATGCAATGTTTTCCTTGCTAATCAAGCTAACGCGAGGTTGTTACGAAATTCGACGTCAAGTCGTCAGCCGAATAAAAATTTCACAACAATGTCGTGTTAGCCCAATCATCCGAGGGACTATTGATTAGTTATCTCGAGTACCAGTTTGGTATGAACTGCAACGAACCACTCCAGAGACGAACTAACAACGAGAGCACGTCGTCCACATGACCGGCCATACGTCGTCGTTGCAGCATTCCTCAAGTGCTATCTCGAACTGCGTCCGCATCGTCTCCTGTTCACGTGCTTCCTAACGGGAACGCCTCCCTCAGTCCGCTCCCGTTCAGGCGCCCACAACATCGGGCTCATGGGACGTGGTAAGGCGAGTTATTCGCCCACTTGGTGACCTTGGTCTGCTTTGGTTCTCGTCTGTGATACGTCTCACCAACGTCTTCTTATACATCTCCAGCGCAGCAACAAAGTTCCATCAGAAAGCGCTTGTACAATTAAATATTAGGCCAGTAGGCATGAAGTACAACACTGTATCTCGAATAAAAGACCATGATGTCTACGAAATTTTTCTAAAACATCGACTAATCCAATCTAATGGAAACATTCAAAGCTATTTTTTGAATTGGTCAGTGGATGTGCAAGATCGAAACATATAGTAGTTCAGAATGAAGTCATAGTGAGCAGCCGAAAACGCTGTGATAGAGATCTATTTACTCGAGGATGCCGAGGTATTGTTGTTATATCATTGTGACAAGTTAATCATTGATACATGCAAAGCGAAGGACCCGGATGGTGTAGTGGTGAAGCGCGCTGCTCCCCGGTAAGGACAACAGCGCGTGTTCGTTCTCCACTGCATACACCTGTGGTCCGGAGGTTTGCAGATATCTCAGCACTTCATACGAGTTATATTGTGACAAGTGTTACACATGGTTTTCAACTGGTTTATTACTGATGATATACCTTGAGCGCGTGTGGCGCAGTGGTTGGAGGCGCGACTGCGACACACGTGGAATCGATCCCCGCGCCCATGGGTCACCAAGCCTTCCATCCCTCCGGAGTCGGCAAAATGGTACCAGATCTCTCTATGAAGATAGCAGCATTGGCTCGATACATCGGTAGGCAACCGCGAGTCATTGTAAAGGCGAGATATGCATTTAATCGCCTCTAACAATACTTAATGAAATCGAATGCATGGCGCATCCCTCAGGGATTGATCAACGCCGAGAGCTTTATCCTTATCCTTTATAGCTTAGAATTGAATTCTGTGGCATTTCATAGAAGGGTTTCACCGTGCCTACATTTTTTAGATGGTTAATTACAAATCGATTCTCGTAGTAATGACACTGAGGTCAAAGTACAGCAGTTATGTCTAGTACGCGCTGGTTGATAAGATGAGTAGCCCAGGGGTGGTGATGCCGATCATCACAAATACGGTGCTGGTTCGACTCACCATCGAACCAAAAGTGTTCTTATCCTCCCAGGGTCCAGAAATAGATCTTGTTCTGTTCCAAGTTTTGTTTGTATTGAATTCATTTCCTCAAATCCAAGCAGAAAAACTTTAGGGCAAAAACTATCACAAGACTCCAGGGAGAATCGAGTCGACGAGCACTCAAAGACACTCATAAAGAACACAGCAATCCTCAAGCAGTAACCAAAACCACACTTGAAAAGTTCGAAGATATTCGAAAATGGTGGATGCAAGCAAATGAATAGAATTCAAGAAGTGCTGTGATCTCCAGAACATTACAGGTGCTGACGACTATAGTGAGCACTCACGAGTGAACGTACCTCTATTTGCTGATGGATCCGAAGTACAGACAGACGTACTTCACCTCTCCTAGTACTATCCATAAGTATTGTGAATATTGGAGGACGTATCTGTAGTTTTGTTAGCCGTTGAATGCTTGACGAGCTGGATGATAGACGGAATTTTGAGGCAATGCAATCTATTGATTAACCGACTTAAGAATAACTTCGCTTTGTTTTTACCAGTTCGTACTTGTAATCAAACTATTCATTTGTCTTATAAGTGATTTTTTCAGATAACTTCTTTGCTTAGCAAAAAACAATAAGTGAATACAACCACAATGATGGTGTAGAGTTTACAAAATCTCAGACTCTAGGCCGAGATTCGAACTCGCGGTCACCTATTCCGTGGTCTAACATGTTACCCGCTGCTACACCACTGAGGCCGCTAATTTGCCTTTTCTCAGCCAATTTTTCACCTTAGCGCTGCCATAAGTGATTATTTTCTAAGTCTCATTGATTACTTATCATTTTAGTTCTAATACTTTATAATTTTTTTCAAACATGGTTAATTATTGATTTGGATTCGCACTCGTTCTTTGAATAAGATAGGGTTAGTGTTACTTATTTGATTTTGTAGTTACTTCATAAGTTTACTTCATAAATTTACATTACTGTTGGCTCAAATATAGCCCAAGTCGAAATGGGGTTTCGTGTGCTGATGAAACAATTAATGGCTGACTCAAAATTTTGTGTGAGACTTTTGACAAGCAACATTCGTTTTACCTTGGCACAAATAATCAATGTATTCTCAGATTGTTGAGCCTACACAATAATTTTGTGTGATGTGATTCGTTGGGACAATTCTCGTCCGCAGATGGCTTCCGCGTTAGCCTATTTTATCGTGTTGGCCTTTTGAACTCAATCCGAAGAGGTGTAGTTGATTCTAGGGAGTATATGAAAAGATCAGGTACATTTGAGCTCAAGGGAAACAGCTTGATTGACGTAGTGTGCAAAAAAGTAGCAGCAGTGGTAATTTTATTAACTACAAGAGAGCTTCGTTATAGTTTTAACAGTGAAAGTCTTTAAAGCTGAGACAATCTTACCCTGTTTGTTTTTTAGAGCGTAATGTAAAAACTATATGCTGAAATATAACATCAATGATGCTGAGATATTTACAAAACTCCGGACCGCAGGTGTCTATTGTAGGGAACGAACGCGCTATTACCCTTTCCGGGGGATAACGCGTTCACCACCACACCACGCGGGTCCTTCGCTTATCCTGTCTCTCATATATGTCTCACTATATGCTGAACTTGAAGAAGCCTAAGCAGCCTGTCTCCCTTTCAACTCTCTGGCTCATGCTTATATTCGGTGATTCAAGATCGATATCTGGTTGGAGATTATTCAGAAAATTTTCTTTTCAAAATTTCTATTTCGGTTTTTTTTGCAAAAATTTGCGAAATTTTTTATAATGGTTGTTAAATCGGTAAGGCATCGTATGAATTCGTAAATTCAAACACCTGCATCACTTATCATAACACATTCGATGTAAAAACAGGCACAAAACCGGTACTTTTCAGATCGATCAATTTTTACAATTTTTACAAGAAATGGAAATTGTAGGAAAGCGTTTAGCTTCAGTTTTACTTAAAATTTGATGAAGGCACGGTCACTCATCGTCATATTCCCAGTTAGCCAGAAAATCGTATTAACTGATTTCGCCAAGAATTCTTGTGGGTAAAAGGCATAACTTCTCTTATTTGCCCTTCAAGTTCTTCCAAAGCCATCGGTTGGATACATTAAACTTGCTCCTTTGACTGACACCTTGGTCCATCGGTAGACATTTCTTGAAGAACTTGCACCACCTCTCGCTCACTGGTATTGGAAGTGTGACCACTTCCTTGAATATCTGTCACACCTCTGGTAGCCACGAGATTTGTATGGCAATTCTTGTTAGTCTTTGCATCATCTTGGCATGCCTTCCTTTAATGTTTCCCCAGCACCTTTACACTTAAACAAGCGGCCTCCAGAAATCATAATGTGCTGCCGCTACCTGAACACACTCTTGCAAGGTAAGACCTATACGTGGGGGTTTATAAGTGTTGGTATGGAGTCGCCTCTAGCAAATGAACTCTCCTTCAA